TAAAACACCCCAAAGTAGCCTTAGCTTGGCAGCACTTGGAACCTCAAGGTGAGGCACGATGGTTGGCTTGACAAAACGAAGAGCTAATCCGACGCTCCTAACTCCGGTCCGATGCTTGAACACCTACATATATATATAAACAGTAAGCTAAAGCCCAGTGAATAACATATGCGTAAAGAGGTTAACAATGAATGTCCTTTCAGTATTTAAAACAGTCATTTGAACAGTATATCAGTTATTCAATTATAGCAGTCATAAGTGGTACATCCAGTAGCAACCAATACAATAGGTCTTAACAGACCGAACAGTCAGTTGATGGCCATCATATCAGTAAACAGTAGTGGTTCCAACATGGGAACTGACAGAGATCCCTGTAACAGTAGTTGTAACAGTTCAGTGACAGTAAATTGCTATGGATGCTACGAATACAGTTCACAAATAGGACAAACATTCATTTAGTAAACAGTGTCATTTCATAAAGCAGTACAGTCATTTATTCAGAAAATAATCTCAATTGAACACATCTTTACAACATAGTTACTCACAGAGTTCTGGGCTACAGATAAGCTAGTACGCGTCCTCGAATGCTAACCCTACACGGTTACAGAGTGAACACACACTAAGCTACACAGTTGGGAAATAATAACTGAATCCCTATCTTGACTCGATGTGGTTCTACATCAATATCCTCATTAAGATGCCTTCAACTAGGCCTAAGAATGCCTAGAATGGAATGAGGATGCAAAGATGCACTTTAAAAACATTTTTCGAATTTTTAGAAAATAGAGGTCCCGCTCGAGCGTGGGTTTCCCCGCTCGAGCGGACATGCAAACAAAAGGCTCCGCTCAAGCGAACTATAAAAGTGCTGGATGTGTGAAAATCACGCTCGATAGGCGCTCGACACCCGCTCGAGCATGTGACACAAGTCCTCGCTCGAGCGTGCAAAACCCCGCTCGAGCGGATTGTAAATACAACAAAAGTGCTGGATACGCGAATTTCCCGCTCGAGCGCCACTTACCCCGCTCGAGCGGGAGTCCAAAATCTGGAATTTTCAAATTTGAACCTCAAGCTCAAAATCAAGTTTCAATATACCAAATTCAATCCTTTGGGGCTAATTTTCTGGAAAACACTTTAAAACTCATAGTATAACATGATTCAAAGCTCAATTTGTAAAATCAAGGCCCAAAGATGAGTCAATTAAACCCAATTTCAAACCAAACTTCAAGAACATACTTCAAATGTAACATGCATGTGTTCAATCAAATTCAAAGCTTCAATTACTTGCTCAAATGAGCTCAATTGCCTCAAAAACAAGATGAATTCATGGACTAAGCTCAAGATATGAACATGCATGTGGAATTTCATGAAGAACAACCTCAAAATGCAAGACCATGCACATGCATGCATGGATTAAACTCCAATTCAACATTATTAAACTAAATCAAGACTCAACTCTTCCATAAATCAAGAACCACGCAAGAACTAACTTGAATACATTAATGAGAGGTTGAATATCCTATCTTGGGTTCTCAATTACAAGTCTAAAAGCTCAATTTGCCAATTATCTTCCAAAATCCCTAAGCCTCCAAGCAAATCAAGATGAAACCAAGTTTTTCTCCTGGCTCTCTCTCTCTAGTCGGTTTGGTGCAAGAAAATGGCTGAAGAAGTGTTGATTCTAAGTCTCAAAATATGATATGGAGTGGGCCACTAAGTGGCAAGGTTGTAAATAAGGCCAACTCTTGTAATTTATCAATATTTAATCTAATTTAATCATACCAAATCACATTTCAATTAAATATATCTTAAAATCATATAAATCTTAATTAGCACAAAACATCAATCAATTTCAGATTCGGCCGCCGATAAGGTCTTCAATTTGCAGTTTAAAGCATAAAACATGAACAGATAATTTAACAGTCAACAGATAGAATTGCATTCAAACTAGCACAATCAATCAATCAGTTTAATAATTCAGTCAGTCAGTCAATTAACATGCTTAATCATAGATTAGCATTAATCAGTAGTGTTATCAGTAAGCAGTGGTGGGGGTTGTCACAGCATCAACACCCGAACCCTTAGGATATATACTATCTGTGTCTTTCTCTTCTGGTAATTCCACCATTGGTACAAATCTTATACTATATCCTTAAAAGGTGAAACCTTACACGTAGACTTGATTCCCCTCTGCATTAGTACCTTTGATGTGATCTTAGGAATGAATTGGCTGGTTGTCAATCATGCCTCTATCGATTACAAAGCCAAAAATGTCTCCTTTCAGTTACCCAACCAACTCGAGCTTGTCTTTGATAGAACTGAAGTATCCACCCCTCCATGTGTCATATCCTTCATGACAGTCTAATGAATTTTAAGAAAGGGTTGTTGTAATTATATTTGTTATGTGATCGATACTCAACAAGAGGCCTCCACACTTGATGTAATCCCTGTGGTTCGAGAATTTCCGAATGTATTTCCTAAAGACCTACTTGGTACTCTAGTTGATCGAGAAATCGAATTCACTATTAAAACTCAACTTGGTACACAACCAATATCCAATGCTCTTTATTGCATGTCAATAACAGAATTGAAAGAACTAAAAACCCAACTTTAGGAACACTTGGACAAAGGCTTCATCTGACCAAGTACCTCACCATAGGGAGCTCTAGCACTGTTCCTAAAAAAAAAAAGATGGCACGATGAGGCTATGCATTGATTATCGAGAGCTGAACAAAGTCACCATCAAGAATCAATACCCTCTACCACGAATCGATAACTTGTTTGATCAATTTCAAGGCACCCAAGTATTCTCGAAGATCAACTTGCGTTCCGGCTATCATCAACTAGAAGTTAAAATGGAAAGTATCGAAAAGACTGCCTTCAAGACACGTTACGGACACTACGAGTTTCTCATCATGCCATTTGGCGTCACAAATGCTCCAACAGCTTTCATGGACCTCATGAATCGAGTGTTCAAACCCTATCTTGATGAGTTCGTCATCGTCTTCATTGATGACATTCTCATATACTCCAAGTCACTGGTGGACCATGAACAACACTTGCGAACGATTCTACAAACACTACGTGATCACAAACTCTATGCCAAGTTGAAGAAATGCGACTTCTGGATCACTAGTGTACACGTCCTCGGTCACGTCATTAACAAGGATGGTATCTCAGTTAACCCCCAAAAGGTTACAGCAATTGTGGATTGGCCAAGACCTACTAACGTGTCCGTGATTCAAAGCTTCTTGGGTCTAGCCGACTATTACCGGCACTTCGTACAAGATTTCTCGAAGATAGCATCACCCTTGACCCAGCTAACTCAGAAGAACACATCATTTGAATGGACGGACAAGCAGGAACGTTGCTTACAAGAGTTAAAAGCAAACTTATGGCAGCTCCTATATTAGCACTCCCTACAGGAACAAAAGGGTTCCTAATTTATAGCGATGCCTTACACAATGGTTTGGGTTGCGTTCTTATGGAAAATGGAAAAGTCATTGTGTATGCCTCACGTCAACTAAAAACTCATGAAAAGAACTACTTGACTCACGATTTGGAATTAGTCGCAGTAATCTTCACTCTCAAAATTTGGCTTCACTATCTCTACGGAGCAACCTGTGAGATATATACCAATCACAAGAGTTTTAAATACCTGTTTACATAGAAAGAACTGAATATGAAGCAACGACAATGGCTAGAATTAATGAAGAACTACGATGTAGAGATCCATCACCATCTAGGCAAAGCTAACATTGTGGTCCAGGCAAAGCTAACGTGGTGGCAGACGCACTAAGCCGAAAGACGACTAGAAGTTTGGCATGTACCCTCGTCCCCCGCAAAATCAATAAACTGCTCGCCAACGTAATCGTGGAACTTGCATTGATTAAAGAAATTAAAGCACGCCAATGCGAAGATAGACTTTTGAAAAATAAATACGATGAGCAAAAAAGTTCACCCAATCCTGACTTTACTATGAGCAATGGGATGCTAAAATTTTGAAATTGAATTTGCGTACCCGACCTTCCAGAACTCAAGAAGAAGATATTGGTAGAAGTTCATAGCTCGAGGTTTGTGGTCCACCCTGGCAACACGAAGATGTATCACGATCTGAAGGAACACTACTTGTGGACAAGAATGAAAAGAGACATAGCAAGCCACGTCTCTAAATGCTTGTATTGTCAACAGGTTAAGGCAGAACATCAAAGACTTGCAGGAATGTAGGAATGCTACAACCACTCCCTATTCCTGAATGGAAATGGAAGCACATTACTATAAACTTCGTGGTCGGGCTACCACAGTCAATCTCAAAGAATGATGCAATATGGGTTATAATGGATCGATTGACGAAGTCGGCACATTTTTTACCAATCAAAATCACATACCCCCTTACTAAGTTTGCACTCTGTACATCAAAGAAATCATTCGATTACATGGTATCCCAGTTTCAATCGTGTCTAATTGAGACCCCCGCTTCTTGTCTCACTTCTAGAACAAATTGCAATAGGCTTTGGGAACCACATTGAAGTTTAGCACTGTTTATCATCCACAAACTGACTGGAAATCTGAAAAAACAATCCAAACTTTGGAATATATGTTACGTGTGTATCTGCTAGACCTCAAAGGTAATTACGATGATCACTTACCCTTGGTGGAATTCGCCTATAACAATAGCTACCAAGCAAGCATCGAAATAGCACCCTACGAAGCACTGTATGGAAGGAGATGCCGATCACCTCTGTGTTGGACGAAAATTGGAGACAGAAAACTGTTAGGCCCCGAGATCGCGCAAATAACGAGCGATAAAATTCAACTCATCCAACAATGAATTCGCACTGCCCAGAGTCGCCAAAAAAATTATACAGACACACGGAGACAGGACTTAGAATTTCAAATAGGAGATCAATGTGTTTCTAAAGATCTCACCCACGAGAGGGGTTATCCGATTTGGAAAACGAGTAAAGTTAAACCCACGTTACATCAGGCCATTTGAGATACTAGAAATGATTGGTCATGTGGTATATCGCCTTGCGCTTCCACCCGAACTGTCCAATGTCCACAATGTGTTTCACGTTTCGATGCTTCGACAGTATCTTCGAGATTCAGAGCATGTTGTTGATTATGAGAACTTGGAAGTTCAAGAAGACCTTTCTTATGAAGAACAACCGATGCAAATTCTCGATCGTCGTGATCAGGTCCTTCGAAACAAGACTATACCACTTGTAAAAGTTTTATGGAGAAACCATCGTGTCGAAGAAGCAACATGGGAAACTGAAAACCAAATGCGAGCCAAATACCCACATCTCTTCGAAACCCAAGGTACGTCAAGTTTGGGGACAAACTTCTTTTAAGGAGAGGAGAATATGACACCCGAATTTTTTTAAAAGTTAATTCAATACTGCGTTACTTAAATAAATAGAATTTTGTGTTTTATCAGAAAAATAAAATAAAATAAAACATTTGATTCTATAATTATACGTGCCAAAATGAAATCTAAATATATTGTTAAGGGCTAATTCAAAACAACTATAAACATATATGTGTTAAAACACGGAGACCATTAAGATTTATCAAAATATAGTAGATGATATATATTTATTAGGCCCAAGTACAGACTTAAAAGTGGAAGAACAAAGGGGTATAATCTGTTGGTCAAGCCACGTGTAGGAAAGGTGGGGTTTAAGGCACTAAAACAATGCCACCTGAGAGCATGGTTTTGTAACACATGTATAGTAATTAAGTAGGGGGGAAATTTTGCTTGTTGAGCAAGCATATGAACCAAGTATAAAAGGGGAACGTAGGAGGAAGGCAGAGAAAATAAAAAATAAAAAATAAAAAAATAAAAACAAACAGGAAAGACAGTAAAAGCACGGAGTGTGACTCGAAGCATCAAGTGGAATAAATTGTAAGGAATTAATATTAAGGTGAGTTATATTATAACTTGAGTCGTCATAATATATTTTACATTTGTTTTGAGTTACCATAATTTATTTTACGCAATTTGTGCTTTATAAATTATATTAAAATTTCGATTACGTAGATTATTTTCTGACCCATATTTACTTAATTGGAAACCCATGGATATGTTTGTTTAAATTTTAGAAAGTATTTGACAATGACCTTGTAAACAATTATTTTCTATAAGTAGCACCACGGGAGTCTATAAGTACCACCACGGGAGCCTCATGCCTTGGGGGACTTAAATAACAATTGGCCCCTATTTGGCCACTTTGTGGTCCTTTATTTGTCATGGATCCATTGATTCCTGTTCTGGTTGTCACTCTCGTGACCTCTGATCTGTTCTGTTTTATATTGTAGTTTTGGTTATTTACTTACATGATTTCCGCATTATGCTTCTATTATTTAAAATTAATTATGTATTTCAGTTACCAAACTAATCTTTGTTCTTAGCCAAATAATTATCCATGGTAATTTCTGTACCCTCATGCTCACTGTATAATATTTCTCACTCTGACATGTACTTATAGCTGTTATCCCTTTCAGGTGATGAGATTTAGCAGGATCGAGATTGGGAATGAACCACAGTGTTTATTTTTTATTTTTTATTACTATTTGTAATTCTAATCGGACTCTTATAATAAAATAAAGCTCAGATGACTATTTCATTTTTTAAAATAAACTTTTGGTACCCATTTGTTTTATTTAATTTATCCACCTGCGCTACTACTACAGAAATTTTAATTATTTAGTTTTTATTGTCTTGTTGCGACACCGAACCTTTGGGTACCGAGTTTGGATTGTGACAATATCTGTCTCTTTCCTTCCATTTCACAGTTTTAATACTTTTTTTATACTATACACTTCTGTTTTCCTGTTATAATGGATAAAATTTTTAAATTCTAAACAAATTATTATCATATTTTAATTACAAGAGGTGAAAACTGTAAAATTTTACAATTTCATAACTTTCTTTAGAATTATAAAATTTTACAATTTTATTTCATATTTTTCAATTTGATTAATAAGGATAAATACTTAATAGAATTATACTTTGAAACTGTAACATTTTACAATTTCAAAACTTGTTTTTCAATTTCAAAACTTGTTTTTCAATTTGATCAATATTAGAAATTATCTGTTTAAACCCTACAAAAATTAAAAATAACATATGTTTTTTTTTTCATTGTTGCTATTTGTTATTCTTAGATTTTTTTTATTCTTTCAGTTAATCAATATTTAGCACATTTTATTATATTTTTTAACGTTAATTTATCAATTTATTCTTCTTATTTTTTTGGCAATATTCTGGACATTTCGGTGAGTTTCGAACGATATTCTTGACGTCCAGTGAATATTCTAGACATTCTAACAACTTCCGGTGATGTTCAGAATATTCCGGCGATACTCCAACGAATTTCTGATAATATTCTGGCGACTTCCCGGTAATGTTGAATATTCCGACAAGTCTCCGATGATCGTTTAACGGAAGTCCGACGGTGGTGAAATGTAGGAGCTTTTTTAAATTTTTTTAAAAAAAAATTTGGCAACAATTAAAAATATATAGGATTAATTGGTGCAAGTATTTTGTTTTGAGATTAAATGAATTTTAAATTTTTGTGTACGAGACATATCAATAAGTTTTTTATTTTTATTTTTATTTTTGACTAAATTTGAAATTAACTAAATTTATTTATATATAAGTTTTACTCATTTTTTTTTTATCTATTAATTGAAGTGGTTTTAACAGTCAGAAATGGCTAAAAATGATCGCAGTCAACTAAAAAAAGTGGTCGGAGGCCACTGACAAATGGATCTTTTGGAAAGCAAAAAAAAAGGTCAATATTTAACTTTTTGTTTATTTTTTATTACATTATTTTTTATATTTTTTATTTATAAAATAAATTACAAAAATTATAAAAATTAATTTTTTACTAACTTTTTAAAACAGAATAAAAGGAGTGTGCCATGACAATGCTAATAATAAAAATGAAGAAAGTGTGGAGAGATTATTTTAAAAATACTGATAAGTGCAAAAAATAAATAAATAAACAAGTCAGAATAATCCATAATTATCCTAAAAATTAAAGATTGAAGGATGAATAAATCAAATATTAAATGGACCCAAAATAACCAAAATTGGACACCGGAGCCAATTATTTTTGGACCCCTCTACAGTTTCATAGTCCCGCGTGTACCACACCTTTCGAGGAAAGCTGGACTTCAGTATCGGATTGAAATCGGATTGAAAGATAGGGAGATGATAGAGAGCTCTAAATATAGAGTTTTAATTTGAGCTCTAATGATGTGTCAAAGTAAAAAATAAATAAATAAATAAAACAAAACAATGCACAAATATCATATCAGGATGGGACACACCTTCTCATTAGAGCTATTAGAACTCCTATATTAGAGCTCTAAAGCATTTTTGTTGAAAGATATTATTTGATACGTAAAGACCTATCATAGTTCTTATTTTAATAATTTAACCGTTCAATATGTAAAATTTATCAATTATTATATGTTTGTAAAAAATTACATTAATCGAATATCGATAATTATTTCATCGAATCAAATTTTTATCAACCGTTTATTTTTTTGACCGTCAAATTATTTTATACAAAATTAATTTTATCACATAATTATCGATATCTAATCGATATAATTTTTTATAAAAATATAATATTCAATTAATTTTACATATTAAATAATTTAAATTATTAAAACCAACTTTCCGAATCCAACAATATCTTTCTGATCACGGACTAGGAATGAACCAATTCCATCGGAAAAAAACTTGTAAAAGCTTTTGGCATTATTGCTCTTGGCAACATCATCAGCTTTAAAGGCCCACGACACAAGCTTCGCCAGCAGATAGATATTTCGGTGCTTATCTCTCTGTCTCTCTCTACAGTTGAATCATAACAATGGAGGTGATAGTACTTCGTTCCAAGCTCGCACTTCTCTTCCTCTTCGCGGCTTGTGCCGTATTCCTTTCGATTCAAGCCACCGACATCAAATATTGCGGTGAGTTCACTTCTCCCTAATTTCTCTGACACTAAATATTGAGTATGATTTGCTAGCGAATATTTGTGTTTTGGACTCTAAATTTTGGATTAATTGCCGTTTGAATGCTTGCTTTTCTGTTAATGCTTCTGATCAAATCAATTCAGGACCAACTTGTAAATTTGCGAATGCATTAGAAAATGAAAAGGACTTCAAATTTGATTGGTGTGAATGAATGTAAAAGTAGATACTGACATGTAAAACACAAGATCGAATTCAATAGATTAATGATTCATTCACCGAATTTGTTGTTGTAATGAATGAAGCACTTGGAAATTAAAAATTAAACAATCTGAGCTATGAACTGGAAATTGGAAGCTATCTAGACATTGCAAACAATAGTTTTATTGTTGAAAAATATGCTGGAAATAAAGTGACAACAACTGCTATTCCCATGTGGCTGCTGCTTTGTAGGAAAGTGTTTCGAAATAAGTCTTGTGGCCCTTCATTCTTGGCATTATCTCCGTTACCTGTTAATTGACCAGCAAATATTCTGCAACCTCATCAACAAATACCCATGTTTGGAGAGAGAGAGAGAGAGAAACGGAGGGAAGCACATATTCTGCTAATATGACCCTTGTCTTGTTAGACATAATCTCACATCGCCAATCTAAGCCACCCAAACTTGGTTAATATAAGGTAAGGGTCTTTCCACTCATAGCCAATTGATTTTGGGGTGGATATTTTAACATGGTACCAGAGTTGGGTCTTAGGTGGCCACTCACCTCCTATGGTACAACGGTCTATCTCTCAATTGTACCTCTCAATCATCTCCACGTACTATTGGGTAGCATGTGAGGGGGAGTGTTCGACATAATCTCACATTGCCAATCTAAACCACCAAAATTTGGTTTATGTAATTCAAGGGCCTCTCCACTCATAGTCAATTGGTTATGAGTTTGAAGCTTTAACATGGTATCTGAATAACATGGTATCTGAGTTGGGTCTTGGGTAACCTCTCACATAACGGTCTATCTCTCAGTCGGACGTCTCACTCACTTCCATGTGCTATCAGGTAGCATGTGAGGGGGAGTGTTCGACATAATCTCACATCAGCAACCTAAGCCACTTAAGCTTGGTTAATATAATTCAAGGGCCTCTCTACTCATAGCCAATTGATTTTGAGTTGGATGCTTCTTTCACAATCACCTACTACCGTTTTAGCCTCATCACTCTAACGGACAGCTGGCCTCCATCACAATCAACTACTTCCCCTCATCTACCTTAGTTGCATCACAATCATTCGACTTGGCGCTATTCCTTGGTTATTTACTTTTGGTTCAAACAGTTGTTACTGTATTCTCTATGTGGGTATATATATTGCTAAGTAAATTGTATTATAGAAGACCATAATGGGCACAAGCTGCGCAATTTGATTTGCATAATGGTTTGATGAATCTGTGGCTGATATTTTCTAGGGTTTTATTGGTATGAGTGCAGACAAGAAAGCTAATTACATTGTTAAGGTTGATGATGTAGAGATATCACCTTATCCAGTGGCGACTGGCAATCCTACCACCTTCACCATTAAGGCTTCTACTGGTAATTTTTTATATACGTGTCCCAATTTTCTCATTCTGGATATTTGTAGCTGTTGTGTGATGATTCTGATGAATACATTGAAATATGGCCAAATTATGGCATCACTTAATATTCCATTATATCTTGTTGATTTTCTAATTTCCTTTTATATCCTATAAACTTGTATAAAGTACGTGGGCAGAAGGCATTCGGTTCACGTACGTCAGACAAATTCCTTGCCGTATCATCAATCAAAATGCTTTCTAACTTCATGCAGATCAAGTCTTAACTGGAGGGAAATTGTCTCTTGCTGTTTCGTATTTTGGGGTGAAAGTCCACTCGGAAACTCATAATATTTGTGAGAAAACATCCTGCCCTATATCAGTTGGCAAATTTGTGCTCTCCCACACACAAACTTTACCTGCACTCACGCCGCCAGTAAGTCAAAAAATTTCCTGATTTTGTACAAAGCTCTTACCAACATACATTTTAGTTAGATTCACCGCACCAGTTAGTCACAGTTTTTATTTTGGCTCTTAACATAATTGCATGAAAGACAGATCCAGGATTACAACTATGGGGGTACAAAAGTATGTTTGGGGGTACAAAGCGTTATAATTTTTAATTATTTTAAATTTTCTGGTATAATATATGATATTTTTCAAATTTTTGGGGGTGCAGTAGATCCATCCTTGATGAAGCATGCTGTGTATGATGTATACTTTATGCTGCCGAGATGCTCAACGAACCACACACTCAGCTGCTAATTATTTTTGTTTTCAATTTTTTCAAAGGCACATGTCTAGCGATCTGACTTTCATAGGGTTTTCTGACATACTTGAACTGCACTTTCCACCTTTTTACACTGCCATTTGATATCCTAATAATTTTCCCGAAGTCAAACAATATTCTAAAAAATGGTTTGTGAAAATATAAATAAAAAGTAAAATACTCGGGGACTGATTTTTGGAAATTATTGTATATAACAAATAAATTGTGAAAAATATGGGGAGTGGCTTGGGGAGGTCAAATAAGTTTTTTTAAAAAAAATTGGAATATTAAAAAATTTGTTGGCCAATAAAGGGGGTGACTTTGGGAAGTTCACCATATATAGATTATGGGATCGAATTATACTAAAACACCACTTTTATGGGTATCCATTTAAAATCAGCACATACAATTATGACCTAAAGAAATTACCAATCCACTCAGATTCAACATAAGTTCATTATTGTCATCATGTTACCCCAAGAATGAACACACATTTTATGTGAATTTCTTATAGGACTAAAAGTATTTGGCATGTTCAGGGTTCCTACACTCTTAAGATGAAGATGCAAGATGAGAAGAAACATGAGTTAACTTGCATTAGCTTCAAGTTCGACATCCAACTCGGTTCATTCATGTCTATTTAAAGTCCTTGTAAGAATGCATCTACCTTATATTTACTTGTGCTTGGCTTGTAAGATAACTCTTCCATGAAAGTACAACATCTTGAACCTACTTCAAGTATGGCCTTGCCTGATGATCTTCCATGTTGCACTTATTCCACTGTAGTAATAATGTACATCTTGCCTCGACTGGTGTGTGTTCTGTATTGTGGATGTTTGCCCAGTTTAAGCAACTCCATGCATTCATGTTTGTAGAGGCTTTAACCATTTTACAATTTATTTTTATTTTTTTTAATTCAAAATCAAAGAAATAGTGTACAAACAAACTTTATTCTCAAACTACTGTAAAACATGATTAGCAAGTGAAAAACGTAATTAGCAATCACGTTTTATTGAAAAAAAAAAATGATTGCTAACTATGTTTTATAGTTTGGGAATAATTTGTTCTTTATCGAAGAATCTTGACTAGTAAATCAGGTCAGTCTTTCCATCCGTGCCTTCTTGTAAACTCCAGGAAGTCGCAGATAAAACTCTTAGGAAATGTTTGGTTCACTAGAATGGTGGATTGGAATAGAATGGTCATTTTTTTTAGCCTCCTTATAGAATGATAATTTTATTTGTAAGTTTTTTAGTAAATCAAACATGAAAGTGGACTGATTCCATTTTAGTTCATTCCAATGAATTAAACATAGCTTTAGTTTAGTGCCGGGTTTCATAAGCGCTCTTGGTCAATCATAGATTTCTCCAGACATGATGGGGATGTAGATACGTACGCTATTTGTTTAATTGTGAATTAAGAGGAAAATAAAATGGTTAAAAGCCCCATATTTGTAAGTTTGCATACATTGCCTGGTGTGTTCATCTCATCATTGTCGCAAATAGGCAAATACTGTTTATTATATATCTCAACTAAAGTTGGACAAATTAAAAATACAAAAAGAATAGTACATTTTTGGGTTTTTTTCTTTGTATTTACTAATTTTTAAAAAAATTATTCATAGATATTTTACTTTTTTAAGTATCTAACAAAAATTATTAAAATGTGATTTTTTATTTTTTATTTTATTTAAAGACACAGTGGCCTCGTTTGGAAAGTTTTTAGTAGGTTAAAATTTTTGTGTTTGGGAAAATAATTAAATTTTTTATAGTTGGATGTGATGTTTGTAAAAGAAAAAGTGAAATAATTATGGATTTGATATGATATTTTATTTTATTGACTATTTTAGCTTCTTTTTTTTTTTAGATTTTAACCAAAAGAAATAAATCAAAAATCCACTTGCCATGTAAAACAAAAATATTACTTTTCAAAAACTAAACTAAACTTTTGGCATAGATCTTTGTTTTTGATAAAATTATTATATTTAAGGTTCGTTTGGGATGTGAGTTGATTTTTTAATTTTTTTTTATTATTTTAATCTGGAGTTAAAAAACCTAGTTTGGGATAGACTTTTTGACTTTTGGTGAGGTGTCCATATGTGAAATTATCCAAATGCCCTTGGGGTGAAGGTGTTCCCCCAAACTGTTGGCCAGTGCTGAGCAGGTGGGTTGAGGCTGACACGTCAGCCAATTAATTTGGTGGTTTCTTTTATTTTATTTTTTTTTATTTTTTTTGTTTAGCATGCTTTTTTATGTTTTTTTTTTTTTTTTTTTTTTATTATTAAAGGGAAATAGATAATTTTGTTCTTTTTTTTAAAAAAAAAAAGAAAAAGAAAAAGGCAAACATCTCAAAATTTATGTCAACGATTGTAACCTTTTGTTGGAACATTTAAAAATATATATATATTTTTGTTAAAATTTTTTGTAAAAATAATTTGGACCATCCATCATCATACAAAACAAATAAAGAACATTAACATATACAAAAAATTAGATGAAATTTTTGAATCACCTAGAACAATGCCTTTCAGAGATAAACCTACCAGATCAGGTTGAAGGAGACATTATTACGCAAAACCAAAAAAAAAATTCTAGTACTTGATGATCAGTGTTATCGAAGACGCGATGGATGCAGTGTCGTCGCCAATGTGCACTCCAGTGGCCTTGGGCTATGGAGAGCTTTGCTATTCTTCTTCGCTGTTCAACGTCGTGTTTTCGCCTTCTTCCTTCAACGTCTGTCAGTGCCTTAGGTGAGAAAGTATTATGTGATTTGAATTGGTGCTGGTGTGAAACAGGTTGGCATTGGGGAGTAGTTTGGTAAATTCCATCGATGTTGAGTTGTTCTCCAGCATGTGAATGTGTTTTGTCTCTTGTGGCTAATTTAGCCTATTTTGGATGAATGTGGCTAAATTAGCCCAAAATCGGATTGCCAAACTAAGGCTTAAATGCTTATTGTCAAGATCTACCAATGATGAATATGAAATTATTTTTTTAAAAAAAAATTCTGAAAAATTATTGTGCTATCTATTGCCCAAATAGTGAAATTCCCCCGTCTTTGGACAATGGATAGGGAAATTTCATGATTTGCTAGTAGTGAAAATTTCAAGTGAGGCTAAAAATGGCAAAATTGAGGATTAAAAATTTTAAATTAAGGGTTTCAAATTGACAAAATTAAAATTTTCTTTGTTCATTGCATTTGCCACTACCAAAGCAGATAAATCTGTCTTCAAACAATGATATTTCATTGTTTTCAAAATAGTGAAATTTTTAATTGAAGCTAAAAATTGAAAAACTGTGAGCTAAAATGTATTAAAAAAAGAAGAGAAAAAAAAAAAAAAAAAAAAAAGGAGATTGACTAATAAATCTCATATTTTGGACTTGTAATCCATATAGTCCCATATATTTTTCTTTTGATCTATTTAGTCCTTTTGGATGTGTAATGACTTATTTACCCGTTACATTAGAGTGTCACATTTAGAAAAAGTATACTAAGGAGTTTTTTTGTGTCACTCCATATCCGTCACGTTGGGGTGTTACATTTGAAAAAAAATACACTATCGCTGTGTTTGGTTGGGAGATTTAGAGAGAGATTTGAAAATAAAAATGGAAAATGTATGCGAAACTAAGTGAAATATAAATATATTTTATTCACATTTCACCTACCTTTTCCATTTCTTTTTCCAAATCTCTCCTCAAATCCCCCAACCAAACACAGTATAAAGAGTTTTTAATTTTTTTAGAAATATCACATCATACCCGTCACATTGGAGTATCACATGTCACGTTTAGAAAAAAGTATACTAAGGACTTTTTAATTTTTTTTAGAATGTCATATCATACCCGTCATATTGTCACATTTGGAAAAGTACACTAAGGAATTTTTATTATTTTTTAAGTATCACATCATATCTATCACGTTGTTACATTTAGGAAAAGTATACTGAGAAGTTTTAAATTGTTTTAGAGTGTCACATTAATACCTGTCACATTAGAGTATCACATCATACATGTCCCATTAATAAAAAGGTATAATTGTCCACCAAAACACTATCAAAATAAAAAAATAAGACCATACGGAAAGAAACTCTCCACTAATAGAACTTAATAAATCAATACAAAAAACTTGAGGCTAATTGGGATACTTGTTTATGAGATGAGATTTATTGATAAAAATCTCAAAAAAAATGGGTTCCTAATATTAATTTTTTTGTCTAATTTTTTTAAATTGAGGGCTCTAAAATAAAATTTTAAAAAAAATTCACTTTTCTAAAGCAAAAAATTCTTCTGACCAATTAATTTAAAAAATCGATTGATAACAAAAATCTTGTAGCAAATATGCCTTACTCTGCTCTGTTTTTCAAAAAATAAATGAATAAGTAATAAAAAATGAGGGAAAATGCTAAGCAGTTGCGATGAATTCACATTTTCTTACAACTTAATTTTAAAGAGGATCAATTTTTTGTTTTTTGCCTTTCCTTTCTCATCAATTAAACCTAGTAAAAATATGACCAGCATAGAAAAAGTGAGAACATTAAAAAAGTGGAAAGTAAAAAAAAAATTACAAAGTGATAAAAGTATAAGCAATTTATATATTAGATTGTGCATGCAAATCTTAAACTTTCATTACTTTGCAGTTATTTTGTATTGATACTATTTTTTAACAATTGTCCCAATAAAAAATAAGAAATGTGAGTCTCGTGACCCAAAATGTCATTACTATGAATAAATTTCATGTATTAAGTGTTCGGTTGGCTAAAAATTCTCTAACAAAAAATTTATAAAAAATTTAAATATAAAAATCATAGAAATCATGAATCACATTTTCATTTTCTCTTAATATTATTCTTGTCCAAACAAAGGTCTCGTTTGAAAATATGCTTTTTTTATTTTTTATTTTTATTTTTGAATAAAAAATAAAATAAAGAAACAAATATATTTGGAATAATTTTTTTTAATTTTTTACGAGAAAAAAAAAATATAAAAAATAGAGAGAAACAAGAATCTTTTTGTATAATTTGTTGACCTTTTAGCTTTTTAATGATTTTTTTGGCCTTCTAAGTTGAAAAGTGAAGTTGCCAAATGAGGGCTGAGTCGAAAGGTAATCCAATTTCATAAAAAGTGAAATTCAGTGAAGCTAAACAGTCATATTTAGATTACATCAAGGTACCAACGACAGTCATGAATTGTGTTCTGACAAGTCAACAAGTTCATCATTAAAGTTCTACATAACTAATGACGATGATACAAAAACAGATCTATCATTGTCGATTAGATACCCAAACTAAACAAACGAACAAACAAAATTATGTGAAAAAGACGGACCGTTAAGGGTACATGAAGAGCCTAAAGAAACATCAACAGTTAACCTGAGGGGCCTTAGGCTCATGGGGTGCTTCCTCGCAACTCATTGAATGATTCTCCACAGCTTTTCCCACCTCTGGGTCTTTCATGTCGTTCTTGTCTGATTCATCTTCCTCCACTTTGTCCACTTTCTCAGTTGGCGTCTCTTTGTTGTGTTGCTCTTCTTTTACAATTTTTGCATCTTGCTGAGGTGGCACAGTCTCATTGGGCACCGGTGGTTGGGACAGTGCTTCAGTCCCTGCCAGCTCGAGATCTGACATCAGCAGTGATTTATTCCCTACATCATCACTCTCTGGTTTCTCCTTGCTTGTCTCATCAATCTCTACCTTGTTTTTCTGCTCTGAGTCTTCCATATTGTCTTTATCCACAGCAGCTGTCTCCACATCTTCCATTTCTGATTCTGTAGCAACTGCCACTCCTTTGCTATGGTCTCCCACGTCCTCCATTACATCTTTCAATTCCATGTTAGCACTTTTTTTGATTTCTTCTTCAGTTACTTCTTTCTCTTCAGCAGTCTCACCGTCTTCATCAATATCGTCCTTCTCTTTTTCTCCCTTCTTTGAGCTTGATTTCTTCTGCACTTTCTTGGTGGGCTCGCTTTCTGGGGTATCTATTGCCTTTGATTTCTCACCAATTCTTGCAGAGCGCCTAGGAGTGTCACCTGTTGACAGGAGTATAGCAGCAGATTTAAATCGACTAAGTTATAGGCAATTGTTTAAAAGTTAGAATTCTTGCTACCTGGGTGATGCCGAACGGTTAATAAAAGATCTGTTCAACTATTCAATTTATCTAAAAAATCATAACATATGGAGAATTGTTCCAAAAGGGAAGAGCAAAAAAATGCAAAGAACAAGGAGAACTAAGAAAGAAGAATACAAGGGCTACAACCCTAATTCAAACAGCCACAGCCTAAAAACTAAATAATATTATTTCAAAGCCAAATGAACATATTACACAATGGTCTATTTTTTTTTTAACACAATGGTCTATTTATAAGCATTCAAGAAGTCCTATAAATATTTAGGCCTAGTTTGGGAAGACTAAATAAGTGCACTTTTTGACTTTTTATGAAATATGGGTTGGGTTTGGGTTGGGTTTGAAGTGATGTGTTAGAGAAGTGATGTGACTTAAATAAGATGATGTGACTTAAATAGGATAGTGACTTTTTGACTTTTTGTATTATTTCAATCATGCCAAACTTGGCCTTAATGGAAACCAAAAATAATATAAATAAAAAAAATAGAATAAAATTATTATATTCTTCAATTTGTTATGATCCAATGCCTTTCCAGTTCCATCACTGGGCATCTATTTAACACACATGCAATATCATGCATCACATATATGTACCTGTGCCCCAGTCAAATTCAGATGCAGACGGGCCTCCAGGGTGAGATTTGAGATACTGGTCCAATTGTTTCTTATTCTTTATCTCTGCACCTGTAGGGGAAATAAACATTATCTCATTCCTCCTAGGGGTCCCACCTTTCTTCGGAGTGAACTGTACATAAAAGAAAACAATCAGTTCAATACAGGAATCAGATCATTCCAATTGAAGAAATGGAATTATAACTGTTATGAAATTCAATCCCAAATACTGGCTGGTTAAGTGCTCTCATATTTTCTATATTTGAGAAAATAACCACAACGCAAGAATCAGACTGAGATAGAGGAAATCACATGACAGAGAAATCAAGAACCATATCCCATGATAATCACATGACAAGGAAATTGAAAATGAAATAATTTTCGTAGAAGAATTGCAAAAAAAAGGGAACAACGAGCAATAACGTACATAAAGAACACAGCTGGAAGTACATCATTATCACCATTCTTAAGTAGATCAAACTATAACAAAAGGGAATTCAACATTCAAAAATATCCAATGTGTTCCACAAACAAATTCAATCTGACTCAATAAATAGGCATATTAACCAAGGACATCAAATGCAAACCTTGGAGAAAGAAACAAGTCATTTTGGCTACAAGCTAAATTTGAACATCATACAACTTTGTTTTGTTTTTTTTCAATAAGTAAAGCAAATTGTATTATGCATCAAAAGGGGATGCTGTCCGTGTATGAAAAGGTTACATTCTCATAACCTAAGAACCTTTATCGTACAGCTATTTAAGGATGATGGTCACATTGTCACTTTGGAGGACTGGCACCAAAGAATTATATTAGCAAATTAAAATTTCCAATTTGCAAATATCCTCTACCCCTATGAACATATTAATGTTAGCAAATAAATCCCAGGTTATTGGAAGAAGTACCAGTCAATTTGAAGCCATTGTACACTTTATGTTGTTCTTGATTCATTTGGAATTAGCTCTTTTCCTCTCTAACAACTGAAAGAAACATTCATCAACTGCCAATCTATTCTTTATTACTAATAAAATAATAATAATAATTGTTTGGTGGCCAGATCAAATTTATTTCATCATTGTCCAACCCAAGTCACCTAATCACTTAGGTTGTGTTTGGATTATGGATTTGTAGAGAAATTTGTGAAGGAAAATGTGAATGAAATATAAGAGCACCCCCCCCCCCCCCCCCCCCCCTTTCTTTTCCCATCCCTTTTCTTTTCCCTCTACCAATCCCAATAGAAATCCAAGATCCAAACATGCCATTAAGGTTCAACTAAGTGCATCAACAATAGCACAAAAAGGCCTCATAAATTCACGAATCCATGTTTCTATGTGATATCTAGAGAGATATTCCATGGTTTCGTGAGATTTTAGACCTTACTTATGTGACATCCAACAACATTCCAGGCTACATGAATACAACTGATAAAAGTTAAATATCATATTCCTAAACTGAAACTAGATTGCCAGGGGCTTTTTCCATAACATCGTCCCTGCATGTAATCAATAGAGCATTTTCCAGTGAGAAATCTGCTTAAGAAACTATGAATTTGTTCCTCCCTCACTCTCTCGCACCACCTACATAATTCTAGCTCTTCCGTGAATCTATATATGGGGGGAAAATATGAAACTCAAACTCAAAATTCAAGCTCTTCCGTGGATCTACTATGCGAATAATGAAATTCGAAACTATATATCTTGATTAGGCTTGATTCTGCCCACTTAAAATTTATAGTATCACTCTCTATGCCACCTCATTATATGCTTTATCTTTGATACACTCAAAAGCAGCAAATTAGTGTCACTATTATAGGCAAAATGGCCAAGCTAACATTTCCTAACAAAGACTTTGAACAGTTTGTATTAGACCAAAATCCTTTCATAGAGACTGTTCACTTGGTTTTTAATGGCTTCAAGCTTGGGAAGTCAACACTTGAACAACTTAAACTGAAAGCCTGAAATATACTGGGGGCGAAATCACAATTCCAAACTTTCAAATTTATAAGGAATAAAATGGAACCCAAACTTCCACAATTAACATATAACAAATTTGAATATCCGACATAAATTTGAAATCGCGATTCCACATTTTGATCCACACCTTATGCAAATTTCACTAAATAAACCCCAATTCATGGACAGCAGGGTTTTACCCAAAAATAAAGATTTCAACCGTTCAAGCAACTTCCATGAATGAATGAATGCCTTTCCACAATTAGGTCACTAGAAGATGCAACTTGAAAAGCCAAAAGCCATCTTCATTAGGTGGGGCGAAATTGTTTCCTGAGGACAGCTGATTAATTTCCACGCCTCGGTTTTTCATTCTCTCCAACTTCAATAAGTTTCTGTTCTCTGTTTGATTTGCTGAGTTTGTTAATCAATATCAATCATGTTTTTATAACTAATTTCCTAACAACCACTAAGAACAAAATTCAATGGACTAAAATTTTAGGTCAAATGTAAAATGCTAGAACTTCTAAGACAACCTTGTGCTTTCTCATTCGCGCATAATCACACACTACAGTTTCAAACCCTAACCACGACAGTGTGTACAGAGATTAAAATAAATAATTAAAAAATTTTAAAAAAAATAACACAAGAGATACAAATTTGCTATAATTTACAACAAACTGGCACCAAAAGCTAGATTGAACTTGAAATTATACTTTAAAAAGTTAATTCAACAAAATCAGCTATAAAAAAAAAAAAAAAAAAAGCCCTAGCCACACACAGAGCACGAGCAACCAACAAATTGGTAGAAAATTGCAGGAATCGAAGCCTAGAGAGTAAATTAGGGCATAGAAAAGTCGAACGAAGTATCAGAGAAAATTCGAGAGCAGAGAACGAAGTGAGGAGAGAGAAACGAACCTTCTTCTTCCAGCCTTGGGGAGCAGGGAGATCGACGGAGACGACGTCGTCTCTAGTGGCATCCTCCTGGTTGGTTGGGTTATGGGACTCCATCTCCATGGTTTGCTCCTTCTCTGCTTCGATGCTCGCCATTTTTCAGATTCAGAGACCTTCTACTCACAAATTACGAAAGTTCCCGCTCGCTCTCTCTCTCTCTCTCTCTCTCTCTCTTAAATAAGGTACAGCTACCTAGCTCCCGTTTAGTCGGTGGTTCATTATCAAATAAAATTAATAAATTTAAAATTCATAATATTACATGTCAATGCAAATTTATAAAAAAAAATTGGTTTTTTATTGATAAATCTAATTTAGGTCTCGTTTGACAATCGAACTTTTTAATTAAAAAGTCAAAAAATTATTAAATTATTCAAAAAGCCAACAATCCATACCAAACAGTCAAAAGATTCTCTTTTCTCTCTACTTTTTGCACATCTTTTCGTAAAAAGTCAAAAAGTCATCTCAAACATATTAGTTTTTTTTAACTCATATTTCGTAAAAAGTCAAAAAGTCATCTCAAACATATTAGTTTTTTTTAACTCATATTTTAACTAAATAGCCAAAAAGTTACTAAATTAGGCAGTTCCCAAACGAAGCCTTAGTAGGTTCTATCTCAATAAGTTCACAAAGAAAAGTTATAACTTAATTAGTCTCATGTGTTTATATTTTTATCCCATAAAGTCTTTTTTTCCTGATTTATATTTTTTGTTAGACTATTATACCCTTATATCTATTATTGATATATGTTATATACAAAAATGATATTCATATTTCCTTATGTTTTTGTGGATTTGGGGTCACTGCTGTGGTAAATACACAGCAGTGACTGTTATGGTTCATTTTGTGGTGTATTATGGGATTATTTTTATGATCTGAACCGTTCATTTTGTAAGATTTGTTGAGTACTTCAAGCCTACCAAAAATCATATTAATCGGATACCAATAACTATATGATTGATAACCAAAAAAACAAACAATAAGTTTTTCTTTTAAAAAATAGTATAAAAATATGCAATTCGATCATATAGTTGTTGATATCCGATTAATATGATTTTTGGTAGGCTTGAAGTACTTAACAAATCTTACAAAATGAACGGTTCAGATCATAAAAATAAGCCCATAATGCATCACAAAATGAAGCACAACAGTCACCGCTGCTTAAGGAAGTAGCTTGCCTAGAGTGAAATCCGTCTCTAACTATGATGTAAATATTCACAATGCAATAAAAATGTGAAAATTTGCATTAATTCTAATATGCCTGTGCATAGATCATACACCTAATTAATGTATAATGTGAATATTAACATCTATAGTCAACCACCATAAACATAGGCAGTCAAAAGATTCTCTTTTCTCTCTACTTTTTGCACATCTTTTCGTAAAAAGTCAAAAAGTCATCTCAAACATATTAGTTTTTTTTAACTCATATTTTAACTAAATAGCCAAAAAGTTACTAAATTAGCCAGTTCCCAAACGAAGCCTTAGTGGGTTCTATCTCAATAAGTTCACAAAGAAAAGTTATAACTTAATTAGTCTCATGTGTTTATACTTTTATCCCATAAAGTCTTTTTTTCCTGATTTATATTTTTTGTTAAACTATTATACCCTTATATCTATTATTGATATATGTTATATACAAAAATGATATACATATTTCCTTATGTTTTTGTTGTAGTAGGGTTTCGTTGCTATAAAAGAGAAGACGATGACATAGAGTTTGTGGTACTGTTTCGTTGCGGTAGAGTTTTATTCCTGGAGGAGAGAATGAATCAAAAGAACAAATGAGATGGCTTGCAAACTTGTTCAGTCGATTGATTGAAACCCACATTCGACTGGATTGAATCAAATGGAAAGAGAGGAGATGGAGGAGTTCGTGCTCTGTTTCTGGTTTTTATGTCAATTAGTGTGAATATTTACATTTCATATGGTTCTTCTTTTTCACAATTGTTAAAATTATTGCCCACCAAGTGTTTGATTATATGTTCAAATAAGAAATTTAACAGACAAAGTTGTTCCCATTGGAAACAACATCTCCAGTGATATTTGCTTGGGTTAGTGAACATGATTATGTTATTGTCATTGATTTTGATTTTTTTTTGTTATTGGATTTCAATGCAGCAATGATTTTTTGAAATTAATAATGTGTCAGATATAAAAATGATATAAATGTTCATATTATTAATCAGTGTTAATATTCACATTAATTTGAATTGAAAATTTGTCATGTGAATATTAAATACATTCATGTGAATATTCACAATGGTAATATGGAATAATGATATTAAAATTCACATCAAAATTGCATTGCATACATATCACATTAAGCCTATGATTATATGTACTCAATTGTAAAGCAGCTGACAACAATGTAAAGTTCACATCGATTTTTTAATCTCTGAAAATATGACTACATCAGCATTGCATTGACCATAAACCATATTTCTGTGTGTACACAAACATGAAGTGTACATTTATGCATAATTAGATTATTGATATGAATGTTAATATCACGAATAAAACATCAAATAAATTAATTTAGTTACATTAAGCTAATGGTTATGTGTCCATAATTATAAGACAACATAAATCAATGTGAATATTAACATTGATTTTCTAGTAGCAAATATTATGACAACATATCATTATATCTTATTTTGCTAATCAAAAAAAAATATCATTATATCTTATTAAGCACAATCAAAATAATTAATTATAGTTCTTTTGTCCAATGTATTATAATATTTACAAAATCGCAAATGATGTGAAATTCATATTCATATTTAGAACATTGTTTGGTCAATTGTTATTGTGTGTAGTCAATATTCTTTTTTGATATATTTGTGAACGAATCATACACCTTACATATGTAAAATGTGAATATTAACATCTGTAGTCTATCACAATAAACATAAGACATATTTTAAACATTCACATTAATTGAAAATGGGCATTAACATAAATTACAATGTCATTCACACCAATTTATGATATGTTTGTTCATGGATCGTACACATAATTAATGTATAATGTGAATATTAACATTTGTAGTCAACCACAATATGATGTAAATATTCACAATGCAATAAAAATGTGAAAATTTGCATTAATTCTAATATGCCTGTGCATAGATCATACACCTAATTAATGTATAATGTGAATATTAACATCTATAGTCAACCACCATAAACATAGGACATAATTTGAACATTCACATTTATTGAACATAAATTATGATGTGAACATTTACACAAACTTCAACATCAGAAAACAGATGTGAATATTCATAGTTTATATTGTTTAGCACACCTAACACATTAACACCAAATATACCATCAAAACACATAGGTGTGTGAGAAGTATATTATTGATTTATATATATGTTGTCAAGTGTTTTCAACTACAAGTTATCAAAATTACCACCAAAAAAAAAAAAAAAACTAGCACTGTATTTTGGTATAGCTAGTGTATGGTGGACAACCCCAACCATCGAACAACGGAGTTTGCCTCAAATAGTCCAGGTGAGGATCCCAAAATTTGGTGCTTGTCATCGGTTTTATTAAGCCTGTAATGTTTGATTGATAATTAATATGCCGCATGTCGATGTGGGTGTTGCTCTCTAAAAGCATGCTCTCTTCTTTGACATGATATTCCTCTCTCTTTCTCTTTGTGCAAAATTTTGATGCAACATTTGTTACATAAGCATACACAAACAATGAGTGTTTATATGAACATTAAATTTGATTTCAATAGAATTGGTAGAATAGGCATGCACATTGACATCGACACATCATTAGTCAGTGTGAATATTCACATTCAACGATATTCATATAAATAAAAGCAACAAAATACTATTTAGGTGACAAATATAATAATGTGAACATTCACATCATTAGAGATGTGAATATTCACATTACTGTCAGGGTACAAATAGGAGTGGTTACACCGAATATTAATATTTACACATCCATATAATATTGGGTATGTCTATGTGTATAAAAGGAAATGTTAAAGCTCACATCAACATTTGGTTACAAAAATTCACAGTAAACACAATGATTATATGTACACATTTATAAGCAAATAGCACTAATGTGAATATTTATAGTGGCTATAAACAACCAAACAACATGACAACATCACACATTCATTAACTACAAACCACATATTTTCAGTGTACACATGTGATGTGAATATTAAGTGGACAAATATGAACAACATTAGTTTTCACAATGTCAAGGTTCATATCAAAATTGAACTACAACTAGAAGAAACTTTTTTATTTGGGGATTTGCTTGACACAATGTTCACAATCATATAATAAATTTATTCAGGACACGGTCACCATGTGAATGTTGACATCATATGAACAACAACAACAATAACCGAAACAACGACATTTTTTAGTTTCCTAGGAGAATCAACAAATTTGGGAGTTTACATCATTTCAACAATACTAACAACAGCAAAAAAAGGGAAAATAACAGGAACAACATGAACAACAAGGACAAAAAATAATAATGGCAACAGGTGAGAAAGTTTGCATTGGGACAAAAAAAAATGTAATTTGATTACACAAAAAAAGGGGAGAAAAGGTGATTACATTTAGTCCTCATGTCAAGTTTATACACTCCGATAGATGCGAATGTTGACAAAGTGAAATACAGTTTCAAACATGGAATAACATAAGTGATAAACACAGTGATGAATGTTCACAAAGTGACTAATCAATTTACACATGTTATGAATATTCACAACATAATTATATATACCAACATCATCTGACACAAGCAAGTTGGACCATGATTCTTTGTTTTCATGTGAATGTTCACTACTATTAACAACAACAATATTATGGGCAAGAACAGTAACAATATGAAATTACACACATTGTATGAATAGAAGCAGGGGATATGTGTGGAAGTTCATATTGGTGCAATTTGAATAGGACATTCACATGATCAAACAATACAATAACAACAAGAACATCTGCAATAATTGGCTTGGCCCAACATGTTGACTTCCCTGTGCATGTCCACTACTGTTAACAATAATAGTAGTAGGGGCAATAACAATAATAATATGAAGTTCACACATTGAATGAATAAAAACAGGGGCTATTGTGGAAGTTCATATTAATGCAATTTCAATAAAACATTCACATGATTAAAACATACAACAACAACAACAATA